TCCTGCAATCCCAGGTTTTTCAGTACTAAGATCATCCTTTGTATTTCTCAGTGACTTCCTTCCTTCTGTGCTAATGCCACTGCTCCCCCAAGCAGCTTGACTCCAGTGTTGTCCCTTTTCCTTGTTAATGTTCCCAAAATTTCTTAGTCTCTGAGGCACTCTGACTGTCCATTATTGAGTTTTAGCAAAATCCTTCTTTCACTCACCTCACAGAGAAACAGTGTGTCCCCTAAGTAAACTTTTAAAATCTTAACTGCCTACTTTTTTTCTTTCCCAATAGCCACAATATGAGAATACTTCACTCCAGACTCCATTTTCAGAGCAGTCAGTGTTGCATCCCCAGCAAGAGGAACTTGAGCAGAAGCTTGCATCTACTGAAAAAGAGGTTTCACAGCTCAATGAATTTCTCAAGCAAAGAATAAACCAATTCAGTGAAGAGAAGAAGAAACTGGAGGAAAAGGTGTGCATTTTTTAAAAAGTTGTATTATTAGGTCAACAGCATTTCTTCAACATAGAATATTTGTCATGCCAGGTTACATTTATATTAAAGTATTTAATGTTGTACCAACTTTTGGGAAACACTGTTTACTTGTAAAAAAAATTATTTTCTTGCGGTATAAAAATACCTCTGTAGGGCAGGGGTTGTAGCTCAGTAGTAGAGTGCTTACCTAGCAGGTATGAGGCACTGGGTTCAGTCCTCAGCACCACATAAAAATATTTTTAAAAACTCTCTGTATATTATACTTTTCTAATTAATAATGAGATCTTTTTTAAGTCATTTCCTTTACTAATAACTTCCTTTTCGCTGGTTGAGTATTTTATTCTTCCTTGTCATATTGAACAGAAAGCATTAGAAAATGAAATGAAGTTGATCTTTCTTTCATAAGGACATTTTTCAAGTTAAAAAGCTGATGTCCCTAAAAGCCAAATACATACACATGTACACACACATACTTAGTTGACCTTTCTGCCTTTATTATAAGTAATTTCACATATTTCATCACATTCCATTATTGTATTATTAAAGATCAAGTAGAACACAATAAATCTTCAATTTATTGAAGAGAAACAGCACAGATTCTTTGACTGCTACTTAGTGGCAAAACTGTTTTTTTTTTTTACTTCAATCTTGATATTCCCAGCTTATTATTTTATTAAATGAGCCTTCCATTTAAGTAATCTTGGAGCATCTCATGATTTATGCAGGCAGACTGCATAAACTCAGTTGATAACTTTGTGAGTATATGTGTGTCCATCATTTACACATGAGTTGAAATTTTCATCTTCCCAAATTGATAAAAATTTATATTTTCTCTGTTTTTCGGCTGTATGATATCTTTCTTGGCTAATCTAAAAGTACCTTAAATACCTCTTTTTTTCTTTTCTGTATTTGGGGAACATCATAGAATACACCACACAATCCAAGGGAATAAGGAAATAGTCACTGGTTATGTGTGAGAGGAATTAAAATAGTCTCTTATTTGAGACTTTAATTTAAAAATTGTCATGAATAAAGATTTTAAATACTTTTTTAGGTTTTATCTAAGTTTTCTCGTATTTTATTCATTGTGCTCAGTGCTTAATAAAATAAATTTATACACTTTCTACCTATTTGATGTCGCGTATTAGGATGTCTCATAGGTTCTCCAAACTTTTCATGTCCAAAGCACAGTTTTTAATTTGCCTTCTGACTGCTCTACTTCTCTCAAAACAAAATTTTCTTCAGTGTTCATTTCTATATATTCATTTACTCATTCTGGAAACTTTACAAAGTCTAATTAGGAAGCTTGCCTCCTGAATATATATAAAATCTTTCCAAAATTAGCAGTGTAGTATATAGTACAGTATTATTCATCTCATGGAACTGAAGTTATGTAAACATTTCTCCCTCCCCCAAACCCCTGACAACCACTGATTGAACTCTTTTTTTTTTTCCAGTCATCTCATATTAGTGGAATCATACAATATTTGTCCCTCTCTAACTGGCTTATTTAATTTAGCATGATTTTCTCCAGATTATCTGTATTTTATAAATGGAAGAATTTCTCCTTTTTTTGAGCTTGAATTATCTTCCATTGTATGTGTACAGCATACCACATTTATTTTATTTAAATGAAATTTATTTTTAACTGAAACATTAAAACATATCATTTTTCTTCTCATTCATTCATTAATGAATATTTAGGTCTTTCCCACATTTTTTATTATGCTTTTGTTGCCTTTGCTTTTGGTGATATATATAGAAATCATTACTGTAAATAATGCTGCTCTGAACATGAGAGTGCAAATATCACTTTTATTCCTCATGTCAGTTCTTTTCCATAAATATCCCAAAATTGGAGTTTTGGATTACATATTTTCTTTTTGATTACTGTTTTTCATAGCAGTTGTAGTTGGACACAATCCAGCACCTCGCACGTGCTAGGTGAGTGCTTTACTGCTGAGCCACAGCTTCAGCCCCAAGGGTTAAATTTTTTAACTTGATATCATCTTTTTTATTATTTTGCCTGTGCTTTTGGTGTTGTATCCAAGAAATCATTACCAAGTCCAATGTCAAGAAGATATTCCTGTGTTTTCTCCTGTCTAGTCCTATATTTAAATCAATTTTGGGTTTATTTTGAATTTTTTTTGTGTGTGTGAAGTGCAATAAAAAGATCCAGTTCATTCTTGTTCATGTGGATATTTAGTTTTTTTGACACTACCATCTTTCCCCATTGTTAGATTTTTAGAATCTCTGTCAAAAGTAAGTTGACCGTCTATATATGGGTTTGTTCTGTTCTGTCCTGTTGGTCTGTATGTCTGTTTTAAAGCTATTACCATATTGAAGCTTTTTGTGATAATGTGATGGAATCTGAGAGTATAATAAACTCTGGCTTTGTTTTTGCTCCAAATTGTTTTTGTTTTCAGGGTTTTTTATGAATTTTTGAATTGTTTGTTTTCTGTTTCTCTGAAATATGCCATTGGTATTTTTGTATGAATTTTATTAAATGTGTAGACCACTTTGATTGTATGGACATTTAGGTAATAGTAATTCTTGCAGTATATGAACATAGGATGTCTTTCCATTTACTTATGTCTGCTTTAATATTTTTATTGGTGTTTTATAATATTAAGTAAGTCTTTTATGTCCTTGGTTAATTTTATTCTTTTTTATTATTCTTGATATTATTGTAAATGAGATTTTTTTTTTATATACAAGTACAACTGATTTTTGTATGTTGATTTCACACCTTGCAACTTTGTTGCATTTTTAGTTCTAACAGATTTTTTAGTGGAGTCTTTAGGCTAAAACTCATGTGTGCAAACAAACATTTTTCAATTTAAGATCTTTCTGATTTGGATGCTTTTTTATTTCTCTTGCCTAATTGCTCTGACTAGAACCTCTAGTACTGTGTTTAATAGGAGTGGCAAGAGTGGGCACCTTGCCTTGTTCCAGATTTTTTTAAGGTAAGCTTTAAATTTTCACCATTTTTAGTATGACAATAGCTATGGGCTTTTCATAAATGTCTTTGTGTGTATGTGTTAAGGTAAGTTCTGTTTTAGCTAATTTGAGAGCTTTTATCATAAAAGTTGTTATTTTTGTCAACATTTTATACATCTATTGAAATGATTATATCAATTTTATTTTTCATATTGATAATTCTACCACGCGGCCTGTGCAATGGTTTCATTAATGAGGTTCTAGGCATAAAGTTAATTAGAAGAGATCGAAATAAAAACACAGACTCAGTTACCTTATTTCTA